GCACCGGCGAGCCCCCGCCATGGGGTGAAACACCAGGGCCAGGGCTTCTCCAGGGGAGGAATGTTCCCCACTAAGGTCACGCAGGAAGCTGACACCGTGGGCTGAGAATAGCTCGTTAGCTAAAGTTGCTCAGTGCAATCATCACAAGGAGCTTTTGGCCGGCTCCTCCTTGCCTTCTTAGTATGAGGTGGCGGACGTGGCCTCAGAGAGGGTGCGAACAGCAGGATCCGGGCCTCGTGCCCTCGGGGTTGCACAACCCAGCGTGCAGTAAGCACCCCAGTGAGGAGGGTGGGAGAGGCACAGTCTGGCGTGCTGGACTAGCGATTCTCTTTCGGCATTTTAGGTTCCCACAAGTTGAATTTCCCTGTCTGTGCCCCAGGCTCTAACACAGAAATCCAAACCAAGTCTGAATTTAAACTGGGAAGTCCAAAGGCATGGCTTGGGTTCCCAGTTTTGCTCGGGGGTAGAGCTTTTATAAGCCAAGCTGAAAACTTTAGCTGAAAGTACAGAGAAGAGCTTGATTCTGCGCATAATCTCCATTAGCTGCTTTTTGTATCTCTGCATTTTCTGATTCTGGGTTTTGGGTATTTTCTGCTTTTGGCTGGGATCAGAGTACCCACAGATAAACCACAAAATGATATTTTTCTTGGCATCTTCCTGGTCCAAACAGAATTAGAAAACGCAGGGACGGTCCTGAAGCCCTGGCGAGGTTTTCTACTGTGGCCTTCTCACCCGATGTTAGACCCATCAGATCTTCACATGAACCTGTATATCTAACCGCCACCCATCTCCACCACACGCATGAAGTCTAGGTCGTGTTTCTCTCAAAACCAGCTGGTTCTTGTGAAACGGTGGCGTGATCTGTGTGCCCACGATGCAGGGGTAGATGTGGTCGGCCAGGCTGTGGGCAGCTCAGGGCCCAACACACTGGGAACAAGAACAGTGTGGTGGGGATGAAGAGCAAAGGCAGGAGGGGGCTGAGAAAGGGAGGGGAGCGACCCCCCTAGGTCCCATGGAGCAGCATGAGCTGAGTAGCTTGTGTTTGGAAAAGTTCGGAAAAAGTTTGGAAAAAGACCTTTGGGTTTGGAAGAAGCACCCGGACTCACTCTGGAAATGTGTCGGGCTCTTTTCCAGTGTTCCTGGCAAGTTTTGGCACGCTCTCTGCCATCCGCTACTTCCGAAGGCAGGTCAGAGAAGGACAGCTCCGGACCTAGGCTCCGCGCACACCAGAGGTGCTTCCTGAGGACATCGCGGGCGGCGGAGGCAGAGGCCGGGGACTCTGTTCTTGGGCGGTGTGAGAAGCCTGGATCCCAGCACCAAGACTTCTCCGGACCCATCCCTGAAGGGGACAGGATGTCACAGGGAGCAGGATCCTTCCGGTGACAGACATTTACGATACGGTAGGCAGTTTGTACCCGTACTGGACAGAAGAGGAGCCCGGCGTGGGCTGGCTCTGTTCTTTCTTTGCACACTTCTTGCATACTTGTGCTGTCTCCTAGGAGTAGTCACAGTGTCTGTTCCAGGGCGCTGCTTGTCCGTCCTCCCTGCTGAAGCCACCTGGTGTCAGAGGAAGGTAGAGGGGGGAGGAGAGAGCAAAAGAAACCAGGAAAGTGCTTCATTCCTAGGAAATGGTTGGGGTATCTGTGAAGGAAGAGAGGAGAGAGCTTTGGGGAAGAGCTGTCTCTGTCCAAACATGGTGCTTTGCTAAGCACACGCACAGGCTAGCTGGGCAGCAGCTAACGGGGGACGCTTGGCAAGGCCCAGCTCTCCCATGACCAGTTTGGCTCCCTGCGGGAGGACTCATCCTCTTGGATTTCACTCCAAGAAGTCACAGCTTGGTCTAACAGTTCAGGATGCTGAGATAGGGTTTCTGCTGCAAGTAGCTGCCTCAGCCCTGCCGAGCCAGAGCTGCGGATGCGGTGTCTGTCCCTCGGGTGAGGAGCACCCACTGCAAGGATGCATCCCACTCTGTAGGCAGAGGACGGGCGGGTGTCAGGCAGCCAGAGCCACGGAGGGACAGACGGGAAGGGCCATGCAGGAGGCTGCGCAGGATGGAAAGGGGCTGCTGGGGCAGCAGGGAAAGGGGCTGAGCTCAGGGGAGCCTCAAGAAGGAGCCCTGACAAGGACAGGAGCATGTTGGGGAGGAGGAGAAGGCACAGGTTTGGAGCTGACAATCACCAGAAGAGGGGTCTAGGTACATCACCCAGTCCCTCCGCTGCCTCCCATCCTGGAGCTGGCTGGGAGGAGATGTTGAGTGAGGAGGTGCTGTGGCTGGGTGTGTAACCTTGTGGGGCTGGAGAGGGCTGGAGGGGACCCAGAATGGAAGGTGGGGTGAAAAATGAAAACAGTTCAGGATCTTCCCTGTCTCTAGGGCCTTCCTGATCACTCAAGGGCATTATTCATGAGGGCTCTTCTTCACTCCCAGCTCTGGTAACAGCACGAATGTGAAATTTGTTAAGCACTTAGGCACCAGATCCGCAAAGGTACTGGGGGAAATCTGCCCAGAGCACCTTTGCAGATCTGCCCAGGAGCTTTATAGGAACAGTCTGTGTCAATGTTTGTCTTATGAAACGAGAGAAGAGGTTTAGCTCTTTCCTTGTAATGCAGAGTGCCATGCAATTTTAATGTGTGTGGGGTTTTACTTCAGACCATGTATTCTTGCTGATAAAAGAGCAGCTGTACAATTGTACAGTGAGATATGTAGCACTAAATAGCAAGAGAGAGAGATGTACAGGCTCTATATAGACTATAGTAGCTGTATATCCAGTAAAAGGAGTTTTGTGGAGGAGGAGAACGGATAAAATATGCTGGAAGCTTCTAATAAAGATCTGTCTCCTTTAATACTTTTGTGTACGTTCCCGTGTCTACGTTGTTTGGGTGTGAAACTGTTGAATGAGTACTGAGTTTCAGAGAATGAGAAATCAATCCATGATATGTCTGTTGATACAAAAATGTAGGATTTGATGTGCTGGTTGAGGACAGCTTACGTAGGCAGATGGACTGCTTCTCCTCATCAGCTCGTTCGCCATGTCTACCCCTCTGAGACACATCGGGGCTGTCGCGTGTGGCTGACAGCCTGATCCAGAGAGCACTCAGGGCTCGAGCAGAGTCCTGCTCTTGCCAGCCCTCCAGCCAGCTGAACAGATCAGGGAGCACGGGTCAACGCACGGCGGCAGCTCCCAGGTTCGCTCCATCGATCCCCATCGTCTCTGCCCTCCCCAGTGGCCCTCGATGCAGCCAAGCTCTCCGCTCCGAGCCGCATCCAGGAGCGCCCGGCCCTGCAAGATCAGCCCAGCAGACCTCGCTCTCTCCGCTGAGCAGGGGAGGCTGAAGTGCTCGCATACGCTCGGTTTTGCTGTTTATCGAGCCAGAACCCATTAAGCGCTCCCCGCGTTCTCAGAGGCCGGTGGAAACGCAGCAGCCTTGGCGTGGCGGGTGGGAAATGGGGGAACAGCTGGAGGAATTGGGCGATTTCATATGCGGGGCTTTCCTGGGAGACCGTCAGGCTGAGCTGAGCGAAGCAGAAGGTCAGAGGAGGGCAGCAGACAGGTTTGCTGAAAGGAAGGGGGTCTCGGGGGGCTCTGGCTCTTGCTGCCTTGTTCCTCATGCAGAGCGAAGTCCCCAGGGTAAGGGACACGGTGAAATCCTGAACCGTCGCTGCTGGCTTCTTCCTTGGTCTGAATTTTTTCCATTTTGTGTTTTCTAGCCTTGTCACGCAAATGTGAAGGAAATAATGTTTTCCCTTCGCTTTGCAGGTGCAGGAACAGTTCATTTCTCTCCCAGCCAGGTACGGTACTCCCAGGTGAAGCGCTGGCACCTAACAAACCATTGTGCTAAAAGTCACTGAATTTAATACTGGGCAAAATGGTTGGGAGAGCTGTTCTGGTTTGTCTCAGTGTCACAGGGATTGGCCTGAAGATCTCACTGGAACTGGGCAGGTTTCTGGCCAGAAGCCATAATGTTGAAGACACTTCTGATGACATCAGCCCCTCCAGGGAGGTTTGGACGGGGCAGGGCTCTGTGCTGGGATGTGGGGAGTCTGCGTGTACCCGTGTCAGCCGGAGGTTTTCCCCCCGTTTTGGGGACCTCACCTTCCCTGGGGAAGCGGTTTTGTTCTCAGCTGCTCCCCACAAACCAGAGCTGCAGACACTTGCTGCAACGGGGGTGCTGCCAGTTCGGCTCGCTGCTTGGGTGCCTGGAGAAGAACGAGGGAGCTCAGTCGGTTTGGACTGGGCTGGAGAGCTTCACAGTGAACATACAGCTGCTGAATCGCTGCTGGGAGAAGACTTGGGTGTCCTCTCCTGCCATTGTTGCTCGAAAGCTCTGTGCATGGCTTTTGCGGGGAGCTGACTTGTTCTGCTCCTTGTTTGGCTCCAGTCGGAGACTACCATCAGCTTTCCTGAACCACACCGGGCAGGCACGGCACAGGCATGGCTGCAGGAAAGCTGCTGGGCAGACAACTAGTTTAGGAGTGGCTTGGGTGCAAGGAGTAATACCAGCTACCATCCAGAAAGGAATCCAGCCTAGCTGTGGCGAGAAGCGGGAATGGTAGGTGGTGCCCTGCAGTCCCGGTGCCTGGTCCACAGGCGAGCCACCCGGGCTGTCCCTGACCTGCTCAAGCTGGGAAAGGCACCAAGCCCCTGTTTTCCCACTCTGAGGGACATGGGGTATATCTCACTCTCAATGCCTCTATCCTGGCGTTCAATAACTCGTGCTAAGTGTCTTCCCAGGAGAGTTCAGTGCTCATGCTCTGCTGCAGGTAACAGGAGGTGCCTGTCACCCCTGCCAGCGAGTGCCCTTTGCCAGTCTGTGCTAACCGGTGTCTGATCCTTTAGCGCTTGGGCTTGGAGACGTAGATGTGATTTGGCACCTCCCGCTGCTGATCCATCAGGTCAGAGGCGCGTTTCACACTCCTTTTGTTCCTGCTGGAAGGAGTGGATGAGATAAATATTTCAGAAGGTGGATGTTTTCACTCCACCGCAGAAGCGAAAGGAAATATTGAAAGGTCTTGGTGGTGTCAGGAGATCAGCTCTGGGAGTGTCTGCTCTGCTCAGCCGAGCAGCAGTGTCTCCAGCGTCCTTCAAGGAAACCAGCCTGGACTTGCCTGCAATTTTAATGCTTGGTTTATTCTCCGACCTTTTAAGCTCTCTCCTCTCCCTCGGTGGCCAGGTCGCCTGGCCTGTATCTCGCCTCAGAGAGAGAGGCCAGGACCTCACCATCTTTTGCAACAGCAGCAGCCACCAAAATAAAAATCCGGTGCATCCTCGCTGCCGTGAGACTGTTTCCATCTCACCAAAGAGAGCGTCCGTGCTGGAGGTGGGAGCCGTGCCGTCCCGCCCCGCTCCCTCGCCTCGCACGTAGCTCCCACATCTGACACCTTGTCTTGCCAAGAGGATGAAAAAGTCAGGCAGGTGCTGCACCCTCAAGAGCTGCCTCCGTGTTTCACCCGGCCTCGATACGCCGTGTGCGTGTGAAGCGCCTGTCCCGCTCCCCCCTCTGCCGCAGCCACCGCTTCTGCCACAGCAGCTCCTTCGCTCTTCTTTTCGCTTCCCCTCTCTGGCAATAAAACCAGAGCAAAGCTTCCCGGGGACGTTTCTGCTAGGCCGTTTCTGAGCCACGACTGCCTTCTCCCCGCGCTCCAGAGAGATTCCCAAGGGCTGGCGGTGCCGTGCCGGTGCCGGGAGTGCCTGGACAGGGAGGCAGCGGGCAGAGCAGAGGGAGCTGTGTCCTCCCGCTCACCTGGCATCCACAGAAACACCGGTTGCTTCACAGAATCACAGAATGGTAGGGGGTGGCAGGGACCTCTGTGGTCACCCAGTCCAACCCCCTGCCGAAGCAGGGTCACCCAGAGCAGGCTGTAGAGGACCTTGTCCAGGCGGGTCTTGAATATCTCCAGAGAAGGAGACTCCACAGCCTCCCTGGGCAGCCTGGGCCAGGGCTCTATCACCCTCAGAGGGAAGAAGTTCTTCCTCATGTTCAGCTGGAACTTCCTCTGCTTCAGTTTGTGCCCATTGCCCCTTGTCCTGTTGCTTCATTCACCCCTGAGATCATGACATCTTTGGGTGGATTCCCCCACCCACAGGGCAGCGAGGGAGTTGCTCGTCGCAGGCTGGACCGAATCCTGCACATCCTCTGCTCCGCGGGCGACCGCGGGCTCGGCAGGGGAGGTGCTGGGTTTTCTGGGCAGGAGCAGGTTGGCCCAGCAGGTCCTTCCCCGACCTCCGCCGCGGTTTCGGGCAGCCGACAGGAAGAGACACGCTCATACAAAATGCTCCCCGAGGAGCTCCCAAACCTCAAGTGTCTTTGTAAATGCAATAAAAAGATCGGCGAGTCCACGTGCCTTCAGATACGGGGGCTTTTTCTCCAAACTCCCGAAGCCAAAGGAACAGGTCATGGGCTCCACTTTCTTTTTTAAAAACACCTCTCTCTGCAATTTATTTCCCGAGCAAAAGAAGTTTGAGATTGTGGCTTTGAAATAAGAAAGCAGAAAGAAACACAGCAGCCCACCGTGGTGCAATAACTGCTCTGCTTTTCCAGCCGTGGTGGCAGAAGGAGGGGACCTGATTCAGGACTTTTAGCACTTGGAGGGAGTGTGGGGGGGTGGAGAGATCATTTGTCAGAGAGTGAACTGTTGGCAGCTAGTGTCATCTCCTGCCTTTCATCTGCCTGGGTGAATAAAGAGGCAGCTATCCTGCGACCAAGCCGAGCAGCGGGATGTCCACGGGCTTGCCGGCAGCCCCGGAGCACTGGGCCTGCAGGCTGGGGGTGACCGGGCTGAGACCCGATCTCTGCTGCAGCCAGGCTGCGAAGAACGAATACATTTTTTCAGGAATAAGAGGTATTTTATGTGTTTGCAGGTACGACAGGTTCCATTTTCACGCAGCCTATCTAGTGCCACTTTAATTAAATCCTCTATTTTTAAATCCTGAATCTGCTGAGAAATGCGTTGGGAGGAAAAGCAAGAGAGTGGGGGTTTTCACGGTCACAAGGCGGGTGCCCACGAGCAGAGCTCACAAACGCAGCCCTGCTCCCACCCGCCACCGAGCCCCCGGGTCAGCATCGGGAGAGAAAACCATCAGGGCAAAACCAACGGCCAGCAAAACCAGTGACTCAACGAGAAACCAGCCTGTGCTGGGGAGCTTGGGTGTGGGTCTTCACAAATCTGATGCTTAGGGGGGCCAGTTTGGAAACAATTTAGGGCTTGTACACACACAGAAATTGCTCTGCATTAATGACGTTGGCTTAGCAAAGCTGTACAACCTTCTACAGTAGGGACAGATGGAGGGAGAGCAGGAAGAAGCGCTGCTTCTAGGGGAGCTAAACCCAGCTGGGAAAGGGTGTAAGTCAAGGGTGTAAGTAAAACTCCTCTAGCTGCTTGTACGGCAGGGGCTGTGTAACCATTCCAGCGGCCGTTTGTTATCACAATCCTTAATTCCTTCTTCCTAGCAGTGAAGAAGTGGCAAGGAGCAGGCTGCAGTGGTCAGCTGGGCAGCAGCATTCAGGGATGGGATACTCAGGTCCTGTGTACACCCACCACCCCGCTCCCTCTCGGTGCAAGCCCCTGACGGTGCCCGTTTGCTAAGGGCACGCTCGCATTTCATCCCGAAACGCTATGTGCTGTGCCGGGCGCCTGCTGGAAGCAGCCACACTCTGCCCCGGCAGTACTGCAGGAACAAGGCAATAACTCGGGCGCCGACGCACGAACACAGAGATGGAGTTCAGGACCCGAAATAAGAGCCGAACAGACCAGGGCAGCTGCGCACAAAGGCGTGCTGGAAGCGTGAGAAATGAGCGGCCTGCGTGTTGAAAGGGCAGCACTTGAAAGAGTGACAAATTTAGCCCAGATGTAGCCGGGGAGGGAAGCTGTCACTCCGGGAGCAGGGCTAAAATTGCTTTAGAAGCTGTGTCACATCTCTACAGAGTTTTGAACCCAGGATCTCACACCTTGGTGGCCCTGTGCACGCGTGTGGCACTGTCACCGACCAGCGCGATCGCACATCGCAGCTTGGGAGAGCTGCTCACGGGGGGGGGGACAGATACACTGGGCTGCTGCGGCCAACACGTCTACCTCTGTTCCTTGAGCTCCTCTGGCTGCGGCACGAACACCTGCCACCTTCCCCAATGTCAGCACCTTCCAGCAGCCGCTGCTGCGGGCTGCTTGTCCTGCACAGGGCAGTGTGCTTGGGAGGGCAAGCCCTCCGCCTGCCCTGCTGCTCCCAGCCCCGAGAGACCACCGACCTTTAAGCTGAGCGCCATATCCAGCTCCTTGCTGGTCTCCTCTGCAGAGTTCAGGACACCTGGTTGTCTGCCCAGAGCAGATGCAGGGACTGAAGTGGCCTGCGGGCATCTGGATGATGGTGTTTCCTTGCCAAGCAAACCCCCGCTGTGGCCAGCTCCCCTTCGCAACCGGCTCTGTTAGCAAGTGGCTGCCACAAAGTGAGGGCAGACTGACAAAACGGGGAAG